ACTTAAGTGACAGGACGCCTCTTAAAGTGGGACCCAAGGGAAGACCGGGGTCTGACCCACATAAGACGGGACCGAAGCATACCGCGCGTGACCCTTACCATACGAAATGGATTTTAGAAAGTACACAAGACATCCCATCATGTGATTTACCACAATAATAGGTGAAGTATGGGTTCGTGTACTTCACTCTGAATTCAGGAAGGCCGAACTTGAGGCCTGTAACCTGGCAGCCACAACAAGTGGGAACCCATAATCAGGAAGGTCTGACAAGGCCTAACACCCGATAGTCCCAATGCATGGGGAGCTCACATTCAGGAAGGCCGCTGAGGCCTGCAGCCTGACATGTGAAGACTCACCACTACAACTTAGCGACCACGAAAAGTGGGGGTTTCACATTCAGGAAGGCCTGGTGAAGCCTGCAACCTGACATGTGACAACTCATAACCAGGAAGGCCAATGAAGCCTGAAGCCTGGTGACCACAGAGTGGGAGCAAAGTGCTCAGGAAAGGTGGTGAGGCTGTAGTCTGGCTACCGCAGCATGTGGGAGCCCACATTCAGGAAGGCTGGATGAGGCCTGTGAACTGACTACCACAGTATGTGGGAACTCATAACCAGGAAGGCCCCTTTGAGGCCTGTAACCTAGCAACCACAATGTGTGGGAGCTCATAACCAGGAAGGCCTGGTGAGGCCTGTAACCTGACTACCACAGTATGTGGGAACTCATAACCAGGAAGGTCCCTTTGAGGCCTGTAACCTAGCGACCACAATGTGTGGGAGCTCATAACCAGGAAGGCCTGGTGAGGCCTGTAACCTGGCGACCACAGTATGTGGGAGCTCATAACCAGGAAGGCCTGGTGAGGCCTGTAACCTGGCGACCACAATGTGTGGGAGCTCATAACCAGGAAGGCCTGGTGAGGCCTTTAACCTGGCGACCACAGTATGTTAGAGCTCGTATCCTGGTGACCACAGTATGTGGGAGCTCCTAACCAGGAAGGCCTGGTAAAGCCTGTAACCCAGCGACCACAGCATGTGGGAGCTCATAACCAGGAAGGCCTGGTGAGGCCTCTAACCTGGCGACCACAATAAGTGGGAGCTCATAACCAGGAAGGCCTGGTGAGGCCTGTAACCCGGCAACCACAGTATGTGGGAGCTCATAACCAGGAAGGCCTGGTGAGGCCTGTAACCTGGCGACCACAGTATGTGGGAGCTCATAACCAGGAAGGCCTGGTGAAGCCTGTAACCCAGCGACCACAGCATGTGGGAGCTCATAACCAGGAAGGCCTGGTGAGGCCTGTAACCTGGCAACCACAATCACTGGGAGCTCATAACCAGGAAGGCCTGGTGAGGCCTGTAACCCGGCAACCACAGTATGTGGGAGCTCCCACAGATGTCTCTCCGTGGCCACCATAGCACCGACGGAACAGCAGATTGCTTGGTGGCCCGGAGTCCTGCAGCAGATCAGTCTGGTAGGCCTGAGGACCACAGGGGCGTACAGAACCGCACCTGCCTGACCTGCTGCTGTGTACGCTCTGTCATTCAAGCATGAAGATGTCTTGAGCAGCTTGGATGACAGGGTCAGAGCTCTTAGTGAAGAGGACCAACCAGAGACGAGATAGTTAGCCAACGTCTCGTCCACTGGCGGCATCGACACATATCCGTGCTCCACGGCTCCCTCCACAGCAGCGAAACTAGCCCGCTGATGCAGATAGAGACGTGTGGAGAACGGATTCTTCCATACCCTCTCGATCCCAGCGTGGAGATCGGAAAGGAATGGAAGGCTCATCCGGGCTGGTGGCTTATGGGTGGGGAGGAACCAGCCATCCAAAATACCATGAGCGGGTTCCTCCTAGACGCGCCTCCACTGTAACTGCAATCTGTCTGTTGCGCACCCCATAATGTCAACCAGCTCAGCGTACACTGGGCAGGAGGGCTGAAATGGTTCGGTCTCAACCAAACTGACATCCTTTTCTATATATATATATATATATATATATATTACAGCCAACTCCTGCCCTGCCCGAAGAGAACAGTTACAGATTCACCAAAGAGAGAGAGCGCTCATTTTCTCTCTTCTTAGAAGTTCAACGTTAATCTGTAACTCACCCTCGTCAGCTGGTAGATCATCCGCGAGGTTAACGCCCCTCTCCCGATAATCTGCCAGCTCCATCTGAAAGCTCCACGAGCTCAACCGCCACTGAGCCTCAGCCCGAGCGGGAACCCGAGCAGATGCCGCGCCCACTTCCCTCGAGAAGTGGGTCAGACAAGAGCAGAGAGTTCTGTAAGGAAAACTCAGTTCGCGCAAAAAACTCCCTCGAATGCTCTTCTCTCAGGCAGAACACGCACAGATCGTGTGAATCCTCCGGTGTCAAATATCTGGACACCAGTCGGCACACTCGCGCAAAGTGTTTCTCCACGTCTCTGCGCGCTTAATCGTTGATACTATCACACTGACAAACAGTCCCTGAAGACGAAAAGATGTTGTCACGGTTTCAAGGCGCCCTTCTTATACATCCAGATTGACGCGCTCATCATTCAAGCTGATGATGCACGGGCTGTCGCCGGTCAACCTGATTACTGTGAGTTGATATTTGATTTCAGACACCTGTCACGCCTGAGGCGTTCCCCATTGCGTCATTCGACGTATTGTTGAGTTTCCTTCGAAAGGGAACATACTGTGTTCCAAGACATACAATAATGAACAATTTATTTCTAATGAGAGATGTAATGGACCTGTCCATTAATGATGATTTTAATATTGGTTTCTTATCGATTGATCAGGAAAAAGCGTTTGATCGTGTGGGTCATGAATTCCTTTTAAATGTTTTGAAAGCATTTGGGTTTGGGGAAAATTTCATTTCTTGGATCCAGTTATTGTATAGAGTAGCCTCGGTAATGCTAAAGTTGGAGGGGGACTGAGTTGTCCTATACCTGTTAGGAGGGGAATATTGTCCTATACCTGTTAGGAGGGGAATTAGGCAGGGTTGTCCAATCTCTGGACAACTCTACAGCTTGTTCATTAAGCCTTTATTAATTAAGCTGAGAAATAATTTGAAAGGTTTTCACATACAAGGGGATTTAATGGGTCAAGTGTCTCTGTTTCAGCTTACGCTGATGATGTGACTGTGTTTATCACTGGACAAGGGGATATTCAGATACGGTCTAAAAGTTTAGCTTTTTATGAGAGAGCCTCTTCATGGAAGGTAAATTGGGCGAAGAATGAAGGTTTTCTCGTGGGTCCCTGGAGAAATGGAGGGCCACCTAAGCTTCCAGGGGGTTTACAGTGGAATATAGAGGGAATCAAAATTCTTGGAGTATTTATGGGTAAAGAAAATTATAGACAAAAAACTGGGAGGGAATGTTGGAGAAGGTGTCAGCCAAGTTGTCTAAATGGAAATGGCTTTTACCTGAACTATCCTACAGGGGTAGAGTCTTGGTTACAAATAACCTGGCCGCCTCCATGCTATGGCACAGGCTAAATGTGCTGGATCCTCCTAATGAACTGATCAAAGTAATATAGAATAAATTTGTTGATTTCTTTTGGTCAGGGCAACACTGGGTTCCTGGAGCTGCATTATATTTGCCTCTACAAGAAGGAGGACAAGCTCTAATTGGCATAAAAAACAGGATTATGACTTTTAGACTGCAAGCTGGATAAAGAATGCTATATGAAGAGGATCTGGGATGGGTTCGTGTTGCTTGTGCTATTCTAAGGACAGCATCTGGTCTGAGGTATGAGATACAATTGTTTTTATTGAGACTTAAAGAACTGGACTTAAGTTATTTATCCCTGTTTTATCAGTCAATGCTGAGGGCTTGGATTGATAACTTCATTGTCAACAGAGATCTTTCTGAACCAAAAGAGTGGATTATGGGAGAGCCATTGTTTCATAATCCACTGATACAAACAAGAACTCTGTCGTCGGGAAACTTGATGAACTGTCTGGTGGGAGCTGGACTCAGGAGGATAGGAGATCTGAGAGACCTGGACGGGTGGAAAACGGCTGCAGCACTGCAGTGTGACATGGGGATTCGATCTTTGCGTCTTCTGCAGCAGGTGTTGGAGGAAGTACAAAGAGCACTGCCTGGAGCCTGCAGGGAGGCACTGGAAACTCGACCAGCTCAAGATTGGAGAAGAAACTATCCTTTTCCATCTATCAGTGTATCTACAGCTGCAAAGGAGAACTATGAAGATGCTGATACAGTATTAACTTTTAAGACCGCGGAAATGGGACAGTTTCGTCAAGCAAGTAAAAAAGCCATCTACTTTACTTGTGTTAAAGTGGCCCATCAGACTGTTTTAAAACGAGTACGAGCATGGAGGTGGGCAGAAGTGTTTGGACCAGACTTTGTGTTTGGACCAGACTTTAAAGGATCCTGGAGGTCTCTGTCCAAGCCTCTCATTGAGAAGCGTACAGCAGACCTCCAGTGGAGACTTCTTCATGGTGCTATAGCTACAAACAGACCGTGACACACCTGAATCCAGCAGTGGGGAAGGAATGTCCTTTTTGTGGAATTGATGAGACAGTTGACCATTTATTTCTTTATTGCGTGAGGTTAGGCAGTCTTTTTATTGTTTTAAAAAGTTTGTTTGAAGGTTTTGATGAAGTTTTTTCCTATCAATATTTTATAAGTGGTCCTAAATATACATTTCATGACAGAAGAAAAATATGCATATTCAATTTTTTGTTGGGTATGGCTAAAATCGCTATTTGGAAGACTCAAAAAAATAAGTTATTGGGTATAAGTACTGTAGATGCAGAAAATGCTTTTAAAGGCATGGTGACTGCTAGAATTAAAATTTAATACACATATTTTCAATTGATTAATGATATTCAAAGGTTCGCCGAAATATGGTCTGTGGAAGGAGTTTTGTGTGAGGTTTTGGATGACATGTTGGTTTTCAAATTTTAAAAATGATTGAAGAATAATTATTGTGTATATGTATTTTTATTGTCTTGTTAAGCCTCTCTCTCTCTCTCTCTTTTTATTTTTTATTACAGAGAACATGAGCTACTGGTGTGTCTTTCACACTCACTTAGGGGTGTCTTTATTGGCTGAGGAGGGGTCCAGGGGGTTGATCCTGCATGAGCTGTAGTCGTATGCGCCACTCCAGATGTGTTTGCCCAGCTGCACTGCCACCTTCCTGTCACTCAAAGAAACATCCTTTCCTGTCCAGACGTACACCTCGCTTCCAAAGTCAAACACCAGTGCCTGCCACACACACACACACACACACTTTGAGTTAATTTTAGAACAATGGGATCAAGCACAGTTTACCAACACACACACACACACACACTGATCATCCCACAATAGGACAAAACCGCATAGAAGAACCAATAAATTTGACACCTCCTTAGAGTTGAGAAGAGAGACACTGGGAATGGATGCCCAGGCCTCCTCATAAGGAACCAGCTTATCCTCCACCAGCCTGTAGACACAGTTCGACTCTATTACAGCACTCTCATACAGTTCATCTTCCTCTGGCTCCCCTGCACCTGTAAAACACACATGCACACACGTAAAAAGCTGCTGCAGCCATTTAAATTTGCATTTAATATGCACTTAACTACCATAATTTCACATATTCTCACATATTCCTGAGTAAAACTAAATATCTAGCCAGAAATACTGTTGGACAAAACTAATTTTACCCACTTATATGCAATCTTATAATGGACATTAAAAGCCTTACCCTCACAGTCCTGTGAATAGCTTTTTGATTTTACCAGTAAGTGTGTAGTTCTGGAATTTTCATAATTTTCCACTAAATTCAGCAAAGAGTAAGGGGTGAAACGTGGATATAGCATGGGAACAACATGGTTATTCAGCAGTGTGTCAAGAAAAAAACACTGTTCTTTTGAAGAAAGTGAAGGAACAAACTTCATGGAGGTTCTGAGGAAGTTAGTGTAAACTATGGCAATCTAAACTCCAAGTAGAACAAGTAGACCAGAAATACTGCAAGAACGGAGGATAAACTGAACTTGATTATGCAACATTAGTAAATTCTGGCCTATAGTCAATGGTCTGTATAAACAAAATTACAAATGAATGTGTGCAATTAAGGTAAGTGAAATATTGTCATTTCAACATCTGTGCTTCATGGTCCTGGGTCTGGAGGGATAAGTGTTTTTGCAAGTGCCTGTACCTCTGTACTCAGTCTTTCCTCCCAACAGACCCCAGAACTCTTTGGCCGAACGGTTCTCTGTGTTGATTCCCTCCTCCAGCACGGTGATCTGAGGAGCTTTGCAGCCCAGATCTCTCTTCGTCTGGATGTACTGAGCCATCTCTGAGCTCTGATACACACACGCACAATTTGACACAAACTTGTTTTTATATCTTCACTTTCCATAGACAAAATGGTTTGTATACTGTACAAACTGCATTTTCTATCCCCCTACCCACCACAGAAAACTCTGCATTTTTACATTTAAAAAAAAAAAATCAGTTTGGTATGATTTATTAGCTGTTTTCCTCGTGGGGCCCGACCAAATGGCCCCACAATGTAAAATAGTTTACATTTTACTATCTTTGTGGAGACATTTGGTCCTCTCAATGTAAACAATGCTAAAGTAACACTGGTGTAAATACCCTATTATATATAGAATAGGCATGGATTTTTATTTACTTTGTGGTAATACCTTAGCTTTTTCGATGACATTGGCAAATTCTCCACTCCAGAAAAAGCAGTGTTTGGGAGTGATGAGCAGATAGCAGTCTCCACTGTTTAGAGAGCGAGCAGTGGGTTTAGCCAGACGCACCTGAACATGCCTGCGGCCTGCGTGAATTAACAGTAAAGTGTTAAAAGCCAGTGATTAAAACCACAACATGCACATTTAGGACATAAAAAATATTGATATCTTGATATTTTGCACTGATATTTTGCATGATCATTGACCGCTTCACCTTTAATGTGGATAAGCATGAGCTTGTGGAAAGGCACAGCACTGTTGTTGGTCACCACCTCTGTAGACTTCACGCTTCGCAGATTGACTTTCTTAAAGTTCTCTTTGCTAGCCAGACCTGCCAGAGCCGCATCTGCCAAATTTGAGTGCTTGGCCACTGAAGACAAGATAAACCAATTAACTGTTTATATTTGCTACAATATAACAAAGAAAAGAGAGGAATGTTTAGTAAATTAAGCTCTTTCCTGGGCGTGTCTCAGTTCCATATCTATAAGAGCCCCTCTTACCTGAGCACTGGTAGGTCATAATGAATCTATTCACAATGTTTGAATTAGGGGAACCTCTTTTTGAAATGCTTTAAAAGAACACATGGGCGACAGTATATCAGCTGGGCCCGCTTCATTGCAGCCGCTTCAGCTCTGTTTAAAAGACCATGTACCGTTTCATGCTTGGCAAATGGGTCTGCTGCGCAACATGATAACCCGCAGATGCAAAGAGCCCTAGTACAAATGGGGCGTAACAATGGGACAGAACGCAAAAACTGTCTCAACGTTCAAGGATGCTGTTACGTCCCCAGAGAACTGGGTACGTATTATAGTGATTTTCTTTTCTGACATTGCTTGTGGTTCTTGTGTTTTTCTTCTTACAGGTAAGATGGCTTCTGTAACCATTCCAGCAGCTGATAAGTGGTTCAACGGCTGATTGGATCTTGGAACTCCTCCTACTCGTCAGTGGCTGCAGCTGTCTGGGCTCTTTAAAAAGCCTAGTTTTGGATCTGTTCTCTCTCTGCTCTGGGCTTTGCACTCTGTTCCTGCTGTTGGTGTGGTTGGTATCCCTTTTTGGGGAACCTTGTGATTTGTAGATAACTTTATTGTTGTCTATTTTGATATTAGGATTGGAACATTTGACAATGCTTTTGATAATGTTGTAATCTGATTTGTTCGCTAGTAACACTAGCTTTGTGTTCCACTTTTGGAACTTGAGCAGCAGGACTGAGTTTGTTGTTTGTGAATTATTATTATTATTATTATTTGTGTTAACTTCTCTTTTCTTGTTCTTTGTTTTATGGGGAGTAGATTTAGAGCTACCCCGGGGTATACATCACCCGTAGGCATACTCCACTGTCTATAAACACCAGTTACTGTAGACCTGGGCGGACCACCATCTGTAATTTTGGTTAGGGCGCCTTGATCGTGTGCCAGATAGGTGATGTGTATAATTAGTGTAGGTTAGGGGTGGGGTATTTTTGTTTATTTCTTTTCTTTGGTTTGTCCAGCTCTTCCCTTTTCTCCCTTAAATTTGTTTATCATTTACATTATTACCGTGACAAAAATAAAAACAAAGTTTGTACGGTATTTGGAATTTGTCTCCTTTTCTCGCACCACGACTCCATTCCTCTTTTGCTGGCATTTGTGGGCCTGAGCAGAGGGTTATCAGGTTCCCCTCCCTTTTTGTGGGCTGGAATGTAACAGATGCAAACTGGAGATTTCTCTTTACTCTTTCTCGGCAGCCCTTTGTGATGGCAGACCGGCCTTCAGTGTCTATATGCACACAGAGAGGGTGTGGCACATAAACTGTCTAGAAATGGGAGCAGTTCAACTTGCTCTTGAGTGTTTTTATGATCTGTTTCATCAGATTATGATGGCATGCATAAATCATTAAGGAGGTATCAACTCGTGTCCCCTGCTGAAGTGTGCAAAGAGCCTTTTGTTGTGGTCTGATCAACATCTCCTCAAGCTGTCTATTCGAGCTGTCCCCGTCACTGGCTGTTTGAACTGTGTTGAAGATTTTTACAATCATTAGTAAAAAACTAATGAAGATTTTTACAAACTTCTTAGAATTTGTCTTAAGAACTTTCTTTATAATAATAATTTGTTACATTTATAAAGCGCTTTTCTAGGTACTCAAAGTACTTTACATGGGAGGGGGAATTTCCTCAACTACCACTTTATTTCTTTCTTACGAATATAGTTCTATAAATTCGGCTTAAGGATTTTTTTTCTTCATGGGTGTGGCAGAGGCCCGTATTTCATATTAAAATGTTTCAACTTCAGTTCAATCTAAATTGTGTCACTAGTAGATGCTATGGTGAAACTCCATTTGGGTAACATTGAAGCCCTATTGAATAACGCCAAACTGTAGGATTTGCCAATGACGTTAAAGTAGCAAACTGGAGATTTCTCTTTACTCCTTCTCGCCATATAAGGAGGAGCTGAACAGTGATTGCCTCAGAATCCTTAGACGGAAATAAAGCAATATTTGCATACTGTAACATGGAAGCTTGCACAATGTCTCATTCCCTCCGCTCTGCGAACACAGAGATAGATTTCAGACATTTTTTATTTTCATAACTCCTGACACAAATTTAGAAATTAATGTCACCATGAGATTTTTAGAGGTCAAAAATTAATGTCTGAGTCTTAATCTAAACAAAGAACATGGTAAACAGGAGCTGGAACACAGATCTTTGTGGTGAAATACCAACGTGTTCTCATCCTAGGGCGTCATATAGTGACACTACAGTTTGTCTAAATCCAATGCACATGGCACCCTTTAGCGTCAATATAACACGCACAGAGCTTTGTTCTGTTATGGTAGGTTTAGTTCTGGGATAGGTTTAGGGTTACACCCAGGGCTTGACATTAACACCCGCCAACCTGCCAAATGCGGGTGGATTTCTTTATATAAAGGCTACCCTCATATATACCATATATATATATATATATATATATATATGTGTGTGTGTGTGTGTGTGTGTGTGTGTGTTTTCATTTAAGCTATAACACCTGTCTTAAAATGTAAGGGATACTGGAGCTTGGTTGGGGTGGTGGGACTGTTCACGGTGGGCGCCGGAAAATTTCCATTATTTTCACAAGCAAAACTTGACAGGTATGGAAATACCACATATAAAAGTGATGCAAACATTCCATGAATTCACCACAGAAAGTAACAAACAAACGTACTTCGCTCCATTTGTATCCTTTTGGTCTCCACGGAGGCCACATTCAGTCTCTGTTCAGTATAAGCCTGTCTGAGGTCGTCTCGTGCTGCCAGGGCACGGAGAGGGTTTCTAGAGCTCTTGGTTTTTCTGCAGGGCCGCACTGAACGCTTATGTTCCTCAACTGCTGATGTTAGTCTGCAATTAAGAATATGTTCATGA